GCAAAATGTGGAGTACTGGTTGACTTGAATTCAAGTGATTTAAAGCAGCACCTGGTCAAAGGCCAGATGTGGTGTTTGGCCTTGTGGCAGGGTGAAGCTGAGAGTGCACCAGACCCAGCTTATCCTCCGTCGTTCATCGTGGCTTCTGCTTTCTCAGTCCCCCCACTGGAGGGTACCCCAAAACCTCTGTTCCCGTTCACTTCCAGTAACTAATGCCACTTGCAGCAGTGGCAGAGCAGCTGCTCAACTCCCCCAAAAGGCAGCCAGGCCCTCACTCCCACCACTATGCCTGTGGAGCTCCCCGGGGGCGGACGGTGAAGCCCACGTGTGCCGGTGGGAGCTCGCCTTCGCTGTGTGCCACCTCTCCAGCACTTTGCGATAATTGTGGGAACTACCAGTGGCAGGCAGTCCCTTCAATTATTTGGCATTACCCTTAAGTACCCGATCAGTCAGGGCAATTCAGAATTTGATGTCTAAGAGCTCTACACACCTGCAATTACTTAAATCCACAAAATTGCACCCATAGGTATTTGCAGGCACAAAAATGCTGGCGTAAAATTAGAGGCCATTTCCTAAAACCTGTGCCTAAATTTTGATGATATACTATATGAGGAGTTGTTATTTTGAAATGGATTTGCAGAAAGCAATTGAAAATCTCCAGGCATCCCATCTGTGTTTAAAGTAACAACAATAACAAAACTTTAAATTAGCATAGGAGATTTAAGACATTTCAGGAAAACATTGATTAAATCTGCCAATGAAATGAATGTGTTTGGCGAGTGACCTAATTAGTGTATACTTGGTTCTTTTTCGCTGCACTGCTTACCACTAATTGCTGTTCTGCTGGTCTTCTCCTGACAAGTAAGAAAAAACAAGGATGAGGGATTTGTTGAGGAAATAGTGACATTCAGTTTTAATTCATTTGAACCTGCTGCCAAGCTTAATTATGGAACTGAGAAACTGAGACCGGGAGGCCCCCAGCCATTTAGGTTATAGGAGATGGAGATGTTTAGTGTCTGCCAGTGTATTTGGGTAGCACTTATTGCAGCTAGCTATAAACTTGCGCTTGCTGATGCTTAGCTGTTTTCTTTCCCCCACAGGTACAAAAACACTAGTTTTATTCCTTAAATTTAATTATTTCGCTCTAATGGCGTCAGGCCAAAATGAAATTACAGACATTTCATTTCTTAGAGGAAAGGTTTAACAATTAATCTCGATAGTCTTGTCTTGGGGTTTTTTGTGTGTGTGTTTGCATGTACAAGCTAGTAATGTGTCATTCCACAAGAAAACCTTGGGATTCTGGAATACTTGTAGCACTGGAGTGCTAAAGGCACCCTCAGTGTAAGTACTCTTGAGCTGAGGGGCTAACGTTAGTGCTAAATTGAATTCCCATCTTTCGAAGCAGTGGGGGATAATGCAGCTTTCCCTGTTTGCGTTTGGGGCTCCTAAAGCAAAAGGGCAGGATGCTTCATGAAAAAAGGGGAAATAGTTTTGGTTTCCTGTGGTGGCGATGGATTCTTGTGAGCAGAGCGTGAAGGTCCCAGTTTAGAATCTGAGTGTGTTTTTCATGATGTTCTGCACAAAAACAGGGAGGGGGTGGGAGGGATATCCACTCGCCAGAATGTTTACAAGGCACTGCGCACACACACACAAAAAAAAGGGAAAAAAAGCGCGTTGGAATTTGAAGCTAGCAGAGGGTGGGGCTTGCACTTGTTTTTAAAATAGGAAAAAGAAATGTAGACGTTTTCTTAGAGCAGCAGCATCTGACTAGCAAACCCTGGTCTGAATCCCTCCTGGGGAATGCTTCCAGCCAGCTGGCTGCCTTTTCCCGGAGGAGTGCAGGAGCTGTTGCTGGAGCAGTTAACTGCTCCCAGTTAACCTCCCAGTTAACTGCTCCGGCACCCATCCCTGCTCAGATATCAGCCAAACCCACCAGGCTGCCCCTGCCAGGGGCAGCCACAGCAGCCCTGCTGGGGAGCATAGCCTGGGTAGAAGGGAAGGGCTCTTGGCACAAGGAGTTTGGGGATTCATTTATGCTATGGGGAGAGCTGGAGGGGAGCTCTTCCAACACCCAGCTTTAGCTTCTGTGGAGGCTAAACCTGAGCTACCCTGAAAAGTGTGTAAAACAAAACAAAAAAACCCAACCAACCAAAAACCCCCAAAACCCAAACAAAAAAACCCCAGTGCTACTTTGTTAGTGCATGAGACCCAAAAAATGAAGTGAGATTATAAACAAATGAAATATGTTAGTGTAGGTCACCAACATAGGCTATAAACATCTGCATGGAAGAACGTAAACTGTGCAAAAAGGCAGCATGCCTGGTTTTGTGTCATATAGCATTGCAGGGTTCTTGTAAGGATACTTGAGTGCTGAAACAGCCTGGGAACTTGGCTTCCCTTGCGGCAGATTGATGTTCTTTGGACGGGTTTTCAGCCATGGAGTGATTTTGTCCTGATGTTCTGTGTGTGGTGGAGAGATGTGTCGGAAGGGGGGAGGGCCAGAAAAAGATACTTGGAATGAAAATGAACTTGAGAGAAGGAAAAAGAGCGGCTTTGCAGTGAGGCTGGGAGTAGTAATACTAGAATGCATAATGGGCGGCTAAAGAGGCAAGGTTTTTTTGTTTCGAGACTCTCACTGAATCTCTGATATGGTTATATAGCCCCTTGTGCCCACTGAATGAACATTTAGAAGATATTCATGATTTTACGTATTATGGACTGATGGTGATCTTCAATAATTCACTACTCTATGGCACAGCTGTCCCACACTCTATAATACCATACTGGAATATCCTTACACATTACGGTTTATATTTACAAACAATGCTAACTTAGATGTGAATACTTACTGTGCTGTCTAGAAAGTAGTATTAAAAACAATTTCCCTTATGCACACATGAATCCTGCACTGTACACTGATGATAAGTATAAAAATCTGATTCCATTGTCTGTTCTTAATGACAATATTAAAACCTCCTAGTTTTTGGTCATGGTGAGAAATAAAAAGAAATTTAGTCTCCTGGGAAATCCACCTTGCTATCCTAAAAAAATAATTTGCTTTGTGATTGATCCAAGCCATCCCATGACTTCCCAAGGCATTTCAGGTTTCCTGCTTGGTAGCTCTTGCTTTCTGTCACGATCTCTCATCCAGCAAGGTGGAAGCTGCATCTAATTTTATCTCCTCCTTCCTCCCAGAAGCTGCTCTCCCAAAGGGCAAAGGCCTTGGAGAAATCTGGGGAGGACTCTTGCTCTCTTGCGCGTTTTTTGGTTCAGAGCAGCATCAGCTTCGCTGCCGCTCTGCAGTGGAGAGAGAGCTTGGATAACACGGCAAAGCAAAATGTCATGTAGAACAAGCTGATTTAAAAATGGCCTGCTCAGTAGCAGTATAAAGTGAAAATCATTTAGAGGAATCTGAGAAGGTTATGCATACATACCGAAATAATAATAAAGAGATGTTTGTAACTTGAGGGGCAAGGTGGTCTCAAGCAGGCTCTCTAATACCTAAATTTGGTGCAGAGAGGAAGGCAATAAGGCCTCCCAGGAGCAGGAAGAAAGGCTGGCAAAAGAAGTAAAAATGGATATGTCAGGAAAACATATCTGTGGTTGTCTCCTGTATGATGTGTATTGACCTAGTAAATGGAGATGTCTGCAAAGGAGCTGCTATGCTATAAATATGCTTGTGCTAATATTATTAAAGCTTTCAGGCAGTTCAGTTTCATCCGTATGTCTTCCTTGGGAGACGCCAATGAGGTGGCCCCTGGCCACAGCTTGTCCGAGCAGCATGTGCCTACCTGCACTGTAATTGCTTAATAAGATGTAGGCTGGGGTTTTCCCTGGATGGATTGTGCAGAATATGCAGCTGCCTAAATAGGTGCTTGGCGAGATTTTTAAATCTTCCTAACGCTGTTGAAATCTTTATGAGTAAGACATTTGAATGCTGTTGAAGATCAGAGATTGCTCCGTGCTTAGAAGCTGTGAAAGGTCCATTCCTTGTCCTTTTTGCCCTCCTTTGTATCTTTCGGAAAATAAAAATACTTCCAGAGTTGCTGATACCCAGTAGGGGCTTAACAGCACTGGTCTTTGTTGAACATACCAATCTTCCTGGTTAAAGCAAGAAAAAGTGGAGAGGGAAGAAGAGAAGACAGGAAGTGACTGGCTGATTAATAAACTAAACTAATGCAAATACTGGGAGTAGGAAAGCCACTTAAAAGCGGATGATTATCCTTTGCCAATCCCTAAGATCTAACCTCACTAAGCTGCTGTTCAGATGATACCCTGAAGCAGTTCCTGGTAGGGACCTGGCCCTTGTTCCAGCAGAGTGGGCGGCGAGATGAAAGGCACGTGGCTTAATCAGGCTGTGACTTTATTATCTTACCATCTTCTAGAGCTATCTGGCAGTCACTTGTAGAGCGCAGGTTGCGATTTCTTCCTTAATTGCTCCCACCAGCTGGAAGACTGCTCTCCCTGCCCCTACGCAGATGGCCCCAGCCTGCCGCAGAGACCCGCTGCCCTCCTCTTCTGAAGCTTAATCCTCCTGTGGGTTCAAGGGACGGGGAAAGGGTGTTGTTTCCTCACGAAACCAGCCATCGCAAGCTGTAGCTTATTATACTAGGGAGGGCCATACTGCTGCCTTCTCTTACAGAAAAGAAGGAGCAGGACTCCAGAGCACCAGAGCCCCATGAGCACATGCCTTGCTGCTGCCAGGGTCCGTTTATTTGTTAGGACAGTCAGTGAACTGCCTTCTCTCTCCCCCTCTGCTGCACACCTTCCTGCACTTGGAAGCTCCAGGTCATTGCATTTCCTTAAACCCCACTAGCATCAGGAGGAAAGGTGTGAGAAATAGAGAGGTGATGGATGGTGGTGGTTGCAGTGCTGGTGGAAGACTGTGAGACAATGTGAGAGAATGGAAAGGGTTTCCTTCATTATCGAAATAAAATCTTTATCTATGCCCATACACATGGATAATAATGAAAATATCTATTTATCTGTATATTTTTCAGGTTACGGTTTTGTAGATTTTGACAGTCCGGCAGCAGCACAGAAAGCAGTAGCATCTCTCAAAGCAAATGGCGTGCAGGCACAGATGGCAAAGGTAAGAGCAACCATGTTATTACAGGATTATCTGAGCTGTTGGGTTAAATTTCCAAGAGTTTCTTTTGCTCCTGTTCTTCTTATTGCTCACACCAATGTTTTTTTTGGTCCTTTGGCTCCAGCACCTTATTCATCCTGTGATTTGTCTGAGTGCTTGAGAGCTGTGTCTTCTGTGGTGGCTTCTGCTCTGATACTCTCTCTCTGCCCCCCTCCCTGGAGAGGGTTACAAGATGGAGAGCGATGGAGTGGCAGAGAGGTTGGAAATGCCTTTACACTGACTGCAACATGAAAGAGTTGCCTTTTCTTCGCCTCGGAGTTGTTTTCGTTTGGTTCCTTCGCCTTAGAATAATTATTCTTTTCTGATGTGCCTGGTAGGCTTCTCTGAAGGAGTGATTGACTGAACATAAGGCAAGTTTGTTTGGTGTGTCTTGGTTTGGCTTCTCCTGTCTTCTTATTTTGAGGATGTAAATGGAAGTGTAGCAGGTTGCTGAAAGAGTTGTTGCTGGAGGTTGTCTGGAGGTGACTGGCATCTGTTGTTCAGAGAGGCTGCAGGACCCATGCTGTACCTCTCGTACAAGCGCAGTGAGCTCGGACACTCTGGTCCTGGAGTAGTCCTTTGTCACCAAGCAAGGGGGCTGACAGGGAGATGGAGGTTATAGTAAATGACTGTCATGTGCGCCGGCTGTTGCCTTTCTGAAGGCATAATCATGTGTCTTTGGGCTCTAGACTGTCGGCCAGCAAAAATAGCTGTTGCTTTGTGCTTTAAAAATGCCTTGCCCTAGAATCACAAAAAGCCCTTCATATTGCCTGATTTAGTCTCTGCAGAAATGATGCCAGCCTAGAATCTCAAACAGTAGAAACAAACAGGTAATTACAAAAACAGAGGCAAATCAACTAGTAAACAATCACCACATTTGAAGATTCCCATTTAAAGGAATGCTGGTGATTTAAACATTTGTTTTTCAACAATATCGTACTAAAACCATTTTTTTCTTTTACAAAAAAAAAAAGGAAAAGAAAAAAATCCTTGGTGGTAAACAGGGTTATTTTGCCTTCTGCTGAATTACACTCGCTGTGCCTGAAAGTAACTGGATGTCATCCATGTATTTCTGTTGAACAGTGCCCCACAATGCAAGCTATGCTGTTTTATTGGCTCCTAGTTTTTATTGACATGTGGTGATAAAAAATATTTGCTTCAAATGAGTAAAAGATGGCAAGCTGAAGAATGCGAAGACCTGCTAAGGACTATGATATTTTATTTCTCAGATATACTGCATCTCCTTGTTAAAATGCAGGCAATTTGATGCATTAGTCAAGCTGTGAAAAAGAAACCAAAGACAGGAGATATGTTTTATCCTACTAGTTGATATCAAATAGCCATTTCTGGGAAGGAGTAAATCTCGAACTACATAAATCTGTAAAGTTGTAGATTTAAAATTAGAGATTTAAAGATAGGATTGAAAGATAAATCTATATTTGGTATTGTCATGATTCAGAACAATGAATAATTTCAGCACTTGCATGAGTGGAGATACCAAAACAGAAGGTGACTTAAAATACTGTGCTTTGGATTGTCCGGTGTTTGGCAGGCTAAAAGCAAAGTCTGATGCTTTCAAAGTGGGAAGGTCTGTACCAGCCACCGAGGTTTGTTTTCTGGGGGATCTGTGGCAGGAGCCGTTTTTTGCCCTGCATGATTTTGAGGCGGCTGGTGCATACACATTTGTTTGCATAAGGCTGACTGTATTTTTATTATTTAGCCGTGGTGCCTGGAATCCCAGATAGGTTCTTTTTAGTGCGCTTGATTGTTCAAGATAAATATACAACTGACTTTTCCTATCTCTGAAAAAAATCAAAGTATTTAGAAAAATGGGGATTCAAAGGAAATTGAGACAACTCTACACAAAGTACCTCACATTGCTGAGAAGGCAGAAGCCTGGGAAAGCAAATCTATCTGGAGAAGCAAGTTAGTTCTTGCAGGTGTTGGAAGCCAAGTTGCATAACAGGTCTGAAAGACGACGTTACCTGCCAGTGTCTGAATTACCAGTGAGGGCTCTGAAGAGGTTTGAAGAAAGAGGCAGAAGAAGAATTTAGCCTCCACTTCTGGAAGTTTATCCAGAGCAGGATTGTTTCAAGAATTGCTTTAATTAGTGGTGAGTGGTTGCTATCAAATGAAATCAAAGAAAAAAACAAGTGTGAAGAAATTACCTAAACCTTTTGCATGCCATACCTTGAAAAAATACAGTCAGTATCTTCTGTTCTGTATCTTCTGTTCTGCATTGCAAAGCGGTGAAACTGCCCCATGCAGAGGCCCAGGAGAAGACTGTAACCTGGGTCCAGCAAGTGTCAAAAATCTCAGTCCAGTCGTGGATGTTTTTGAGTAAAGGTAAAAGAGGCATTTGCCAAATTTCACTATGCACTGGCCTACTCCAGGAGCGAGAGAAAGTATGCTGAAGTGTCGGCGTAGTCTGTGATGTTTTCCTGGAGAGAAATCTTGCTCGGAAAGAGTAGTTCTTTCTCAGTTTTAACACAATATAATTTTTCTCATAGAAATCCAGGAATCTTCTTTGAAAAACAAAAAGCAGAACTGAAACCCCACCCATGTTGGCTAACAGAAGTATCTTGTGGATACTTCAGTAAAATATACTCATTTTATCGATGCTTAAATACAGCCACCTCCCTCATTTTTATAGCATTTGGACACCATTTTGGCTGATTTTGTTTCAGAGTGCTGCCTCTGGAAGAAGGTTAAACTCTGGTGGATTGATGCTCCAAGTCCCATCACTGTTGGAAAACTTGTTCACTTGCAGCTAATACACCCCACAACCCTACGCAGAGAAAAACATCGTTAAACATGTTTGACTCTCTCTTTGTGTTCTCTTGGATGCTGTTCAGCCTGATGCAAAGTAAGTCAGGAGAGGATTCAGCTGAGGGAGAGAAACACCAGTGTAATGCCTGCAGAGGCAGTGGTGGCAGCTGGGAAGTGAGGTCTCCTGCGCTCATGGACAGCCGCCCCCTCGGTGGGATGAGGACCCTCATGGCCACATGAGATCCAGGCTCTCGTACACGCCTGCACTCTCACCTTGTCTCATTAGCATTTCCCTCACATAGGTACCCAAAGCAAGAATTTTGACTACAGCCACTGTCCTATGTCCAGTGAAGTTCGTCTAAGTTGTACATCGTCTGTATTAACAGTTTCATTTATTGAGAAAAATCAATGCATTGGAGCTGCTGAGTGATGGTTTATCAGCTGGCCTGGCTCGTTTTACTATGTGCTTCCTACTTGCCTTTGGAAATAACTCAGATATGCAGATTCGTTTGTACGTACATAGCACCTGCTTGCCCAGGCTCGTAGAGTCTGGGTGGTTTTATTTTTTTTGTTTTCTGATGAAAAATGGCACAACTGATATGCAACTGGATAATCTCAGAGGAATTATTGATTTGTTTGTCTTTTTGTGGTGGGGACGACACAAGCTCAACACAGAAACGACAATGCTTGTGTGCATGGTCTTATATGTTGGTTTCAGTTTTTCCATCTGCTCCTTTCATATGTTTTCTAGAGAAATGTTATAGACAGAACATGGAAAATTAATGAGAATCTTAGTAATATGGGAGTTGTCTCACACAAGCAGGCAAGGAAGGTAGTACACATGAAAAACATATCAATGTTCTAATAAAATCTGTAGCCACATCTTTTCTTGGAATTTGCAATAATCTTTCACACTGAATTACATGTTCATGACAACACTGCTTAATCTGCTTTATAATATGTGATTTTAATTATACCAAGGAGTCTAAATCACCTGAAGAATCAGTAGAAGTTAGTTGTCTAAATAAAATGGAACCTCTAAGCTTGTGTCAACCCTGAAGTTGGTGGACTTTACAATTGTAGACTGTTTGTACCTTCACGGACATTTTTGGGTCCCCTCTGCCATCTTTTATGTCCAGTTCTAGTCTGCTGTAAGATGATGTCAAGTGGACGTTCAGGCAAAGATAGGTTCTTGCAGAGAGTATGTAGTAGCTTCTTTCATATCTAGCAGCCCAGCAAGACTGTTGAAACAAATCCATTCACCAAGGAGGGATTTTGAATCCTGCTGTTATTCCAAATGCCTTTGTAAGGATTAAAAAATGTATTTGATGATGCATGTCTTCTCTGGGCTTCCCATTTGTATGTATAATGCGTTTAGACATCCTCAGCACCTGTGCAAGAAATGTGGACACCGAAGAAATATTTAGTCAGCATTGGCAGTTGTCTAAATCTAAGGAACATTTCTTGACTGCTCTGCCACAGTAATTGCCATCTAGAGGATACACGGAAGGAGCTGGTTCTGAAAAAGGACTGCCGATAGGTTCTGATGTGTTTTGCTCGACAAGGGAACTGCAGAATGTGATTTTACTTCTTGTGTGATATTTTTCTCATCTCTCCATCATGCAGAAGCTTAAATACAGGCAGTAATCGCCATCTAGGTGAAACATAAAAGGGAGCTGATTCCCACAGACCAGAGCCAAGCAGCAGAGCTTCTGAAGAGGAACAGAGCGCTGGCTGGTCTGTAGTTAACTAGACAATTTTTCTCCAAGGACCAAGGAAAAGGAAATCCCATAGAAGAATCTTATTTATTTTCCAGGCTTTTGCATAGGTTTCAGGAGTTGCTCTGGTGTGAGTCAGCTGACCAAAATAGTCCATTCTGCCTGTTCATTCTTCAGCTTATTTTTCTCTTCTTTTTAAATTACTTCCCTTTTTTCTTTGTCAGATACCAACACTCTAAAGGGCTATTCCTTAAAATGGACACTGCAGAAAATGGAAAGAGTCTCCAGTGAAAGCCCTTCATCCTAATATTTTTTAATCTAGATTTTTAATGGAAAATTATAATTATCTGTGTTTTGCGGCTTAGACGTTCATGAAAATATTTAATAAATATGCTATCCTTACAAAATACGATGTATGGCCTATACAAGGAACATCACAAGCAGATTCTTAATTCATGATTGAAATGTCTGAAAATT